GGAATGACCATGTCTCCAGATGACTTGATTGTAAGAATCGTATTGCATTGCATCTTTTAGGCTGTGTGTTTTGCAAGTCTATGTTCTGAAATTACACTGAATGAGTAGAGTACATCATTATTGCTCATTGGTATTAATCTTCCATGATAGATTGATGTCCTGATGTTTGAAAGCTCCAGAGTGAAGAGAAGTGGATTAATGATATTTTATTTCGATTAAATTGGTGTATATACAGACAAGGAAATTGACATTACAGGATCCTCGTTGTGGAAACCCCAATCATCCATTTTGTTATATTTTGCTCATTCAGTTGACGCTAAATTCTCTTATTTCTATTTTTTTTGGGGGGGGCTTAGGCTCTTGCTCAGCAGTGTAGCTCTGAGTTGCTTCAATCAGAGCTTGAGAGGACTCGTATCAATACAGCATGTTTTGTTGAGTCGATTCCCTTGGACTCAGTACCAGAATCAGCTAAAGCTGCTTATTCCTATAGAGGATCAATGGATTCCTCCAGAAACTTCATGGCTTCCCCTGGAAGAAACTATAGAGGCACACAAGCAATGGGTTCCCCTAGTTTCTCTCGTCACAGGCGTCGATGAGCCAGGCACTACTCAGTAATTACAAGTTTTGTTTTTCAGTTTTTTTTTTTTTTTTTTTTTGTTATGTGCAATTGTAATATATTTATTCAAAAGAAATCCTTATTCTTTCCTCTTCATGAGATTTTCTTTCTTATTTCCTTCATTTTATGGGGTGGGATGGATTGGGGTTGGGCTATATTCTGTCAAATTTCTGACATATCGCAACTCCAAGTTTTGGATTATGGTTCTTTGCTAGTACTGGAAATGTGACCGGAAAAAACCATGATTATTGCAATTTGACTGCGGAACTCTATGTTTTTAACGAAGGACAGGTGTTTACAACGGTGGCTGAAACCGAGTGTTTTTTTTCCTGGTTAGCAAAAGAAGAAGCATTTTGCCTTATTCTCTATCTTGGTGGCATTCTTTTAAAATGTGTGATCAGTAAGTGAAATTCGGATCCTTCAAGAACATATTTTAAATCCTTCGCGGATTATTTTCAACTGAAGAAAAAAAATGCAAAAAAGAAGTTTGGATTGGATATTTGTAGCCCAGCGTCTGCAAGGATCGAATATTCGGGGGTGGATATCAACTGGATCGTGTAGATTTCCGGACGACAGGGAAACAAATTAAGGATTGATCATTGGTTTCCTTTTTAAAACATGCCCGGAATCAACCTGATTGTCATTGGCATAATCAGTGCCACCGAAGTGAATTTTGAGAAATCCAGTTCATTCAACCACAGCCCAAGGATCTTGCATTTGAAAATCAATTGAATGCATCAACATTAGTGTATAATTACGGCTACTTTGCTTGAAAATCAGGGTTCTAAAAAGTAGTTTGCATCATACCATCAGCTAAAAAAAAAACAACTAAATCCTCTAAGAAATTTATTGCCCATCAAGACACGAAACTATTATTTATTGTAATAGTATAATTATGAATTTGGAGTAAGATTGTATTTTTTTATCATGACATAATTGTTTATTTTTTAATTCTATATGGTTAGATTGATAATTTCGTTTTGTTTTATTTTGTATAGTAAAATTATTAATTTAATCCTATATTAAAAAAATCTAATACCTATTTTTTTATTATTAATTTTTTTAGAATAATGTAATTATTTTGATGCTTAAAAGCTACTAGTTGAACTCTCACTTAAGGGTTTTTTCTTAAAAGCAACTAGTTGAACTCTCACTTAAGGGTTTTTTTTTGTCATTTTACATTGTTTTTATTGTAATTTTCAATGGTACTCAAGGGCATTGTTGTAAATTATATTTATTAAATATAATTAAAAAAAACTTGTTGGTGCATGCACGACATGCACCAACGTGTGGACGACCCCCTTACCATTCGGGCGATGCATGGGGTGGTTGTTCGACCATCAAATGCCGCCTTCTAGAACGACATTTGAAAAGTACTAGCACTCCAGATTATATGAGATGATGCATGTGCCAAGATTTGCGGTGGTTTGGTGCCGACAATCATTTTTCTTCCCTCTTCTCTTTGTCCCACCTATATTTCCGTTACATCCCTTAAAAATTCAAGAACAATCCTTTTTAATTTGTTGGTTTTTCGGATTTGATCCCTTTTTTTTATTATGATTTTATTTATCTTGAGTAATTTATTGAATTTGATCCCTATTTTTTTCATTGTTATTTTTTTTGTTTGAAATTATTTTTTCAATTGACTTTGTTTTATATTGCATCTTTTCCTGTCAAATTTAATTCATCTTTTTTTTATTGCTAATTTTTTAGCCTTGATAATTTTTCATTTTAAATCATAAATGATTTTATGTTATGATTTCACTCTCCTTTTTTATTTTCTGTCAAATTTAATCTCTGTTTTTTTGTTTGGAAATTTTTTTTTGCTATGATAAATTTTTAAAATTTATATTTTTAAATTGACTTATAATAAACTTTTTTATTGAATCTTGATCTAAGGTTTTACGGATTACGAGTTTTTGAAATTTGATGAGTTTTAAGATATTTGTCCAAGTTTGCTTGATTTTTATAAATGTTTTTCAATTTTACCTCCTGTGACCTTTTTTATCTTTAAAATTTGACCCCCCCTCCAATTCTTTTGATTGTTGTTTATTTTAGAGTTTTTTCTATTAAATTCCATCATTACTATTTTTTATTAAATTAGTTGAGAATTAGACTTCTTGATTGAATAAAAAATTTCCCAAATTGTGCTTTTTAAGAATTAGATCAGGTTTAAGAGATTCGTCAGATTTACTTGATTTTTTTCTTTTTCTAAACTGATGTTTTTCTATCATCTTATTTTAGGGTTTTTTTTTGTTTTTTGTTTTCATTTTGATACTATTAGGTTAGCTCTCAACAATTTCTTTCTATTTCACCTCCTATCATTTTATAATTTATAAATAATCTATCAAATTAAAAATATTTTTCAATTTCATTCCTATGATGTTTTTAATCTTTCAAATTTGGTACTCATTCTTTTAATTGCTATTTATTTTTTTTGGATTTTTTTTTTCAAATTTCATCCTCCTCTACTATTATTCTCTCAAATTTTATCTGCATTCTTTTTGTTATTTTTTTATGCTTTTTCAAGTTTTTTTAATAATATTTTTTCAATAATTTCATCCTTTAAGATTAAATAGCTTAACTAAACTCAGATTTAGGATTCAATGAGTTGCAAATTTTTAAGATTAGACCAAGTTTAGCATGTTCGCCTGATTTTTTCTTTAGGGTTTTTCCCCTTTTTTTAAGTTGATGTTTTCCTCTCTCTCTCTCTCTTATGGTTTTCCTTTTATTATCTTAATATTGGGTTATTGGATAATCCAAATAAGCTCAGGTACAGTTATTTTTATCTTTTTTTATTTATTTTTTTAGTATATTTATTGTTGTTTTTTTTTTCATATTATTTAAAATGTCATTTGAACTAATAACTCCACTTGGATTTTTTTTAGTCTAAATTTTTTTTACTTCAAAATTTTTCTCAATCTACTGTGAAGTGCGGGCAACATATCTAGTTAGCATTTAGTAAATAGGTTTGGTTTTTTATTGTAGCAATGAATGTTGAAAAGAAAAGCCAAGTTCTTTATCACTTTGGCCCTCAAATTTTTTGGCCATTTAAAAAAAAATCAATTTTATTTTTTAATATTGAGTTTATTAGTATAGAATTTCATAGTTTATTTCAATTTATTTTCTACAGAGTTATCCTCGACTTCCATTAGTTGGTTTGGGTGGCATAGCCAATTGCAAAAGTCTCTCTCTTTTTTTTTTTAATCTCATAACTTAAGTCACAAATTTTCTAAATTAAGTCATATTAATTCAGGTTATTTTTGTCTATTTTTTAATTTTTTTTCAATTTATTCTTTCAGTATTGGATTGATTAGAAATCATAATCTATAATTTTTTTCAAATAAGTTTCTATAGAGTTATCTTAGTTTTCTAACTTAGGTTTGGTAGGTTAACCCAAGTTGATTTGGGTCATTTTTTGTTCTTTTTTTTTCAACTAAATCCTTTAAAATTAGGTTGATTGGGGATTCAAATTTTTTTTTTATTTGCTTGCTATGTGATTATCACAGTCTTATGATTCAGGTAAGGGATTAGGACAGTTGACTCAATTTTTTTAATTGATTTTTTTTTTTAATTTCAACCTTCAATATTAAGTTGATTAAGAATTAAATTTTATAATTTGTTTCGATTTATATTCTATGAGGTTATCGTGATCTTATAACACAGGTTATGTGTTTGTTTGATTTAAATAGTTTTTATGTCTTTTTTTTTTATTTCATCATTTATCATTGTATTGATTGAAAATTGAGTTTTATAATTTGTTTTAATTTTTTTCTATAGGATTATTTCAGTCTTATAACCCATGTTTGACAAGTTAACTCGATTTATGTTTTTAGTTTATTTTCATTTTAAATTTTATCATTCAAGACTGAATTGATAAAGAATTAAATTTAATAAATTTTTTATTTTTGAGTTATTATAATGTCATGACCTAAGTTGTGAATTTAACAGAATAACCTAAACTAATTCAAGTCAATCTAATATATTATCACTTCAAATATTTTTAAAAAATAATTTTTTAAAATAATTATATTTTTATTAGTTGTTAATATTATCTTTAAGTCTATCATATCAACCAAATCATGTAGATTTATTTTATTTTATTTTATTTTGCTAAAAATGCATATTAACAACACCTGATTTTTTTTATGTTAATTTTTTTTAATCCAACCGCAACTTACCACAGAGAATGATCTAGTTCTACCTAAAATAACTGCAAGATCAAGACCATGAACAGGAATAGAAAAAAGAGAACCAAAACAGAGCATCTGATTCATTCAGTCGAACCACAAATAAAGCTGCGGCCCCTTGTCCTAAAATCTTGATAGTCAGCAGTGCATCAGACCCACTGGATAGTGGTCAGTTGCGATTCAAGTCTACGAAGTTAAGAAGCGTAGGTAGTCCTTCATCATATATATTTTCCCTAAAATAAGTTGGCAACTCATACAAATCGGTCCAAATGCAGATGTTATGTCAATTACACAATGATCTAAAAATGTGGGCAATTCCATAATCTTTTACCCCACACTGTGTCAATAGTTTGATGCAAACTAAGCTTGGGCAGGTTTTAAAGTACAGCAATGGCAGAGTAAACAAAATATAGAAAAGGTTGGTTTCTCTGCCGGATGATTGCACTTTGAACTTCATCCTCAAGGTTAAGCTGTCCTCAATGGAGGAGAGACCAATATGACACCATCTCCTCTAACAAACAGGAAGGGCACTGTGCGCCTTGTAGTCTGAAACAGAAGAAAAAGAAAAAACAGGTAAGCACCTGAAGTAGTACAATTGTGAATGAAGACTTTCAGATTAGGATTGCCAACACTTGAACTAAACGTCCACCTAATCCTTCCAACACCCTTCTCCAAACCTCTTCCTCTTCCACCTTAATTTGACTATCCAGAACCACAATAGATTACTTGCAGTCAGAAGCAGGGGGCCTGCATGGATACTTTCTTTTATATACAGAATCTACTTATGAAATTCTAACATCAATTTTTTCTTTTTAATTTCAGAGCTCCAAGTTTTGCATAGTTTACTTTGAACCAACCCTGTTTATGCATCTTTTACTTTAATATATTCCAAGATTTTGCGTACTTCCAATAATTTCTCATTCCAGAGTTCAGCATTTCCCCTTCTCAGGAATCTGTGCCTGATGGAGACCCAGTGTTGCTACAGCTACCCAAGGTTACTTTTTATGATGGCTATTAAGCATATTTGTGAGCTATAGTAGCCAATAAAATGTTATCAAGATGCCTGTGCATTGTAAAAAAACACAGAACATGTGATGCTTTTTGCTGATGAATTTGCAGAACTCCTCCAAAGACTATAAAAATTCTTCCTACAATAAGAATCTATAAGATCCATTTCATATCTGCCTTTTCACAAATTCTATAATGTTTGGAAACGCTTATGATGTGCAGCTACAAGTCCACTCTTCAATGAAAATATGCGATCTAACGGAAAACTTCATTCTTCAATGTAAAAGAAGCAATAGACATCTACAAAAATGACCAGCATCCTACAACTACCAGGCCCCCAAACTATCCACTGCCGCCACCACTTAGCCAAGCCATCATCATTCATGACTCCGCAAACCTTACAGTCTTTAGGCAATAATAGTTGCTTCCCTTAAAAATTAAAACTACCTAACTATTTGAGTTTCCAATGCTCACCATGGTAAGACCCCTTCCCCTTATTCTATATTAGACACAAGAGTCACCCAGGTTCGGTGTTTACTACCTAATAAACAATAACGGGAAAAAAAACCCTTTAAAAGTGAAATCATAACATACCCGAACAATCTCTTCATAGGTTTCATCATCGATTTCTACTGTAGTAACAATTTCTTCAACATCCCCAAGAATCATATTCAAATGCTGATCATAAGCCTGCAAAACCAGATTTCCAATCCAAACGAAAAACTCAGCGCTGATAAATTCACGAGCTACAACTTGTTTGTTTATGGCAAAATCAGAAACTATCTCCGCCTGGATACACTGCTGTATTAAATCATTACTTTTAACCTAGCACGTACAGCCAAAGGGGAAAACGATGGAATTGCGTGAAAAACATTCACCTATATAATTAAACTCCCACCTCTTTACCCTTACTTTTATCTCTTCAAAAAAATTATCACTTCATTGATCCTCCGACGATTTTTTTTAAAAAAAAATAACCAAAAAAAATCACCATCATCATCTCTTTACCATTTGATTTAAAACATAAAGTTAGTGTCAATGTTGTTTTTGTAAGAACTCATTCAAGACAATAATAACAAAGAGAAAAAAACATAGAGTTGACATTCTGTGTTTCTTGTGATGGAATTCGCCAAAATGACATTTGTTTATATAAATAAAAAGAGGTAGGGTTTACAAAAGCACATGTAGAAGAGAGAAGAGGCACATACGTGAAGTTTGCCGCGAAGCTCACGATCAGAGCGGAGCTTGACGTAGATACGCTCGTCCAGGCTAAGTCTGATGAGATCCAATGGTTCTTTTACCGCACTCTCTTCTTCGCTTGCCATTCTTTCCTTCCTTCTTTTCTCTCGAGGTCGGGTGCTGTTCTTAAGGGCAAGCAGTGGACTTACGACCCGAATTAGTATTGGGCTTTTGTATTCTTTCTTATGTGGTGGCATCGGCCCACCTCATTCTCCTTTTTGGGCCTAAGTCTATCAAGCTGGGCCGAATATCCTTGGAAATAAATTTCTTTTTTAGAATATCAGAGGTCCCGAGATAGATTTGGGTCTTTTTGAATTTTTGTTCCCCGTGAAAAGGAATAAAAAAGAGTATGGCTTGTTTAAAACAAAAAAGAAAGGAAGCAATAGAAAGAGAAAAATTGAATGACAAAATTGGCCTCGTCTAGTAGACTATTAAGATAAAAACTTTGCCCCCTTGATATTTTTTTTAACTGCTAATCATGCTATTGATGCTGGTAAAGTTATTTTTTTAAAAAAAAAAAAAAACTTGTTTTTGTTGTGCAAATGTAAGAATATATTTAAATAATATGTAATTTTTTGGTATTTTTATTAAATTTTATTTAGAGAATCAAACTTAAAATTTCTCAACCTAATTTTTTATCTAATCTAAGTTTTGATTAAATTGTATGGGATTTGTTTTAATATAACCCAATAAACTTGATAAGTTCAAAAATAATTTGGATAATCAATAAAAACATGATTTGACTTTAAATTAATTTCAAGATGATATACTAGATTAACTCAGGTTTTATAATTTAATTTATTAAACTTGCGACTTGGGTCATGAATTTTATTAGGTTTAATAATATTATTCTTTCTAAAACTATTTTTACTTAATTATATGATAGCAAAAATAAATATTTTTAAAATAAAAGACCAATCAAATAACATAATATTATATAAAAAAATAAAAATAAAAATAAAAATGAATGGACTTGTCATGTGAACAACGAAATAAGCGGTTTTATCTCAAATATTTCATTGTATAGTATAGTAATTAGTTAATAAATCGCGCTATGTTGCAGCTCGAATCAAAATTATTTTGAACATAAAAACCATGTTGCTCGAATCAAAATTATTTTGAACATAAAAAATTGTTCAAATTATAATAAATTATTTGATATTATTATTAAATTTGATTTAATAAATTTACATTGAAATCTCCTTACTTGACTTCTTACCTATCTCAATTTTAAAATTAAATCATATAAGAGTTGTTCTAGCATGACCTAACCAATCTAGTAGGTCCAGAAACAACTTAAATATTTAAAAAAAAAACATTATTTGACTTTTAAAAAAAATAACTTAAGATGATTTTTTTTAATATTAAAACATTAATATATTAGATTGACCTAGTTTTCATGACTTAATTTTTTAAATTTATGATTTCAATGATGAAGTTAAGAATTTTATTTTTAAAAATAATTTTTCATCTAATTATATGATAATAAAAATAAATATGGTAAAACCAAGTAGAAACTAAATATTAGGATGTATTTAATAATTTTATAGAAAATAAATAAAATATCTAATTATATGATAATAAAAATAAATCTGGTAAAACCAAGTAGAAATTTAATAATTTTATAGAAAATAAATAAAAATTATGAAAATAAATTTAAAATTAAATAAATATTAAAAAATAAAAATAATAACAAGAGACAGAGATATGAAAAGAAAAGGGCAACCTCTCTCACAAACAGTGAAGAAAGTGAATCGATACCCTCGTAATTATTGTGGTGGCGGCAGGCTAGGAAAAATAAATTTATAGATTCTGCATGCCATATTGGACGACATGTCAACATCATTGCGAAAAGAAAATAGCGTTGTTAATGCTCCCAGAGAAAATGATGGGATGCGGAATTTTCATAAACTCTTGTCATTGAAAAATCAAATTAATTGGAATTTCTTATAGCTTATCGAAACCATTTGTGAACGACAACAGCTCCATTGCAATGAAGGATAATTATCCATAAAGCGTAAGAACAGAAACTCACTTGAGCCTTCCTTTCCTTAGCCCTATTTTACTCTCTCGTCTTGGCCTAACCTAATTTCTTCATCTCCTTACTGGATATTTTTTTCTTTAGTCCAACGTAACCCTCTCATCTTCAACAGAACCATCTTCTCTCTTATCTCAACTGACCCTTACTCTAAACTGCAACAAAGGTGAAGACGAGAGGGGGGAGGGAAGAAAGGGCTCGGCCTATCTTGATCCAACCGAACCCTATATCTAGCCTGCAATGGCTATCGTTTCTCACTGATAACAACTTCTCTCAGACTGCTTCGGACTAACTTTTTTTTTAAATAATGGTTATCTTTAATCATAACTCTTGAGTTAGTAATTCTAATTTGTAATTGTCATCTTTTTTTCATCAATAACTATCTCTTAGTAGTTGTTTAGGTCAACTTTTTGCTATTGACTATTTATAAACTTTATTCTACACCAACTCTTATGGTCTTTTAATACTTGTAACCAATAACTTACTTTTAAGCATATTCTTTAAATGATAAGTATGGCATATCAATCAATGATTTAATTTTATAAAATATCAAATATTTTTTTATTTTTTTTAACATATAATTATATATGATCTGAGATATTTATAAATATCATATGTCATAGAGTGAAAAACTCAAATAAACTTACTTGACTTCATTATTCATTTGTTTTATATACACATTATTTTTTATGCCACACATTCTTTTTTTATACATATATTTTACCTTTTTATATTTACTACCTTAGCATATAAGAATTTCTTATTTTGATAGAAAACTTGTTTTAAAAATTAATCACTAACCCAGTACAAAGCTATAAAAATCAAAATCCAATATGAAACTTTTAATACTTGACCTTTTCTTTTTTAATGATACAAATAAAAGTTTACCTTTAACACTAAGAAGTTTACTAGGTTTTAATTGCACGGAGGATAAAAAACATATAATTGCATTAAAAAATATAAATATTTTTATTATTTGCTTTTATGTAATGAAATATTTGAAATAATATTAAAAACTCAATCAGTACATTAGAATAAATTAACAACCACTATAAGGGTTAATAAATTAAAAAAAAAGTTGACGTAACTTGTTTGACCAAGCTGATAAATAATAAACTGACTCTCTCACTTAAATGGTGATCTAGTTAAAAAAATCTCTCCATCATTTTAATCTTGTCTAACCTTAGCTTAAATGTGAAGATAAAGAACCGTCAAATGATAGGATCAAGATAAAAAATTGAGGAAGTGAAATAAAAAGACAATGACAAACGATATTAACTGGGTTGATCCATAAAATTTACAACTTGAATAATGAACATAAATATAATGATATAACCCGACTCGATAATTGATCTTTCCTTTTCTTTTCTTATTCTCTTCCTAGTTGAACCTTTATTATGTCTTAATTGATCAAAAATCAAATTAAATTTAGATTCAAATAAAGAAATTATAAAATAATTTAAGCTAAAACTTTAAAAATATATCATTTATCCCATTAAACTTTAATTAATTAACAAAATTTAGAACCTAGGTCAAAACATTATCAAAATCAAAGACTTAAAAAAGTAAAAATGAAGTTGTGTATGAAAATTGAATTTAGAAAAATATAAGAGATCGAAAAAGTCTAAATTTATAAATTTGGAAATTAAAGTGTATTTTTTATACCAACTTTAAACACACCACCTATTTTTGGTGTCTTTTCTAAGTTGATCCTCTATTTTTCAATTTTTTTCCTAGCCAATAAACTTGAAGCAATTGAATGCTAATTTTGCAATAAAAAAACACAATAAAAATAGTTAAGGGATTAAAGTGAAAAAAATAAAAATAACACTGCAATCTATTGGACTTTGTGAGTGTATGAACAATAATTTTTACTGTTGAAATACTTTATTGTCAACAAACTAAGGAAGCTTGTTGCTATTTCTCCCATCCAACTTTCGGGGATTTGTAAAAGAGTGATGTAATCCCCTGTCTGAAGCTCTTACTTAATAAAGTTCTTTTTTGTTATTTCTTTATCATCTTGTTTATACATTTTGTTCATCTTCCAAGCTAATTAGATTCATTTAAAAGATTTTTTTTTATAAAATCAATAAGTGTGGATGCTTCTAAATGCCTATCTAATAAATTTAAACGAATCCAAGTTGATTAGTACTTAAAAGTGTATTTTTATCAAGGTTTTATATTATCATTTTACACTTGAAGTATCAATAACTTCTTAACTAAAGCATATCTAATAATATAAGATACCTTTAATTTATAGTAAATGTTCATTTTAAATGCAGGCCTATCACATAAATAAAAGGATTGATTGATGAGTTTAAGAACTGAAATTGAAAGGACAAATAAATTGTCAAACTTAGAAAAGAGATGCTGGTGCAGTCCAACTAGAACATTGTTTGGTAATTGGATCATATCTAGAGCTGTAGATCTCGGATTTAGATCTACTTTATATGAATGGAAATGTCATAGACTTACAACTTTCATGGGAGCCTAAGATTTAAAATGGTCATTTTCAAGTCTAAATTATAGCAATAACGAAAAAGTTCGAATATGTCCTGCAGCTCAAACATTGTTCAGTGTTTGGCTCATATCTGGAGTTTTAGAAGTCCAAATGACCTCAATTTTTTTCCTGAAAAGTTGGGACAATTTCCTACAATTTTTATATTTCAAGTAGTTCTAATTCTAACGTTATCAATGATGTTTTGGGTAGACAAGAGAATATAAGAATTGTCACCAACTCAAAAATTGGTCACCCACTCATCAAATAGTCATCAAATCAATAGTTTCCAATTTTGGCCTATAAAAGGAGGCATTTGCCATGCATTTAGGATCATGAATGTTTGACAATATTTACAAGTATTAGCATTATTCAAATAAAATAACTAATGTAATCATATTAACAATTTATATTTTGATTGGAACCTCTTTTGTGTGTTGTTTCCAATTGAGTAATAAAAGTTTATATTATACTTATTTGACATATTATTAATAGATCATTTAACTTTAATATTTATTGTTATCATTGTTTAATCCTTGCGTTAATCTTCCATATCAAAGTTCTCATTAACTTCTTCTTCTTCTTCATTATCATTATTATTACTACTACTAGTAATAGTACTATTATTGTTGTTGTTGTTGTTGTTCTTGTTACTATTGTTGTTATATTATTATTATCTATAATTTATACAATTAATCTCCCTGTGGTTCAACTCTGAACTTACTGGGTTATTTATTACCTCGACACTCCTGCACTTGAGAGAAGACATCAATCTTTTGGTCGTGTCACAAGTCCAATATTTTTTCCCCGTATAATTTCAAATCTAACCAGGTATGGGGTTAAATTATTTTTAAATATACATTTTTTTAATGTGTTTTTAGATGTAAAAAAAATCTTAATTATAAATAAAATATTTATACATATATCTGGTTAATTAAATTGGTATTTGATCAAAATATAACTAAAATTAATATATATGATCTCGCCACACAGGTCATGTACTCAGTTGTGGTTAGTTACCATGTTTTTAATAATATATTTTTATTTAATCAGATGATTAAAAGGTATAAGAAGTCGTAAACAAAAGCAAACTAAAAACAATTATGAAACTTAATATAAAACAACTCAATATTAAATGATAAAATTAAAAAAATTAAATTAATCTGCGTTAACCTATAAACCACGCGTATAGGATGTTCTTATAAAAAGAAAAGTTTTAAAAAACACAAAGATCAGTTCCAAAAATAATTCAATATTAAAAGATAAAATAAAATAAAATAATTAAAAAAACCAAAATCAACATGTATTAGCCTTCAAAACTCGTGATTACAGTCATGGGGCTAGAACTAATTGTATAGTAAAAAAACCTAAACAAAAAAACAGCAAATCAAAATTCTTTTTTAAAAAAATCAAGACACGAAACTAAAAAAATTAAAAAAAAATAAAGATCCGAATCAACATGTGTTAGCTCACTAATCCGATGATTATAAATATAGGATTGGGATAACCCTGTAGAAATGAAAATGAGGAAAAAAAAAGCATGAGGACTATTTATCAAAAATAAATAAATATTGAAGGATAAAAATAATTTAAAAAAACATAAAAAAATGTCGAAGTTAACCCTTGTTAACCTTTGAAAGTTGTTATCGTGATCATGAGGTTAGGACTGACTGAGTATAAGACAAAAAAAAACAACAAATTAAAATCCTTAATAAAAGAATATTGAGGTATGAAAATAAAAATAAAAATGAAAAAATTAAATATAAAAAATAAATAAAATGGCATTGCATATTTTTTTATTAATATTTTATATTCCTTAAAACATCAAATTGCCTTCGAGGCATCTCAATTATAACAAAAAAACAAAATTTAAATGAGGCAAATGGCCCTGGAACGAAGTTTTAGTTTGTTTTTTCCTAACAATGTTAGTCAAGTCATCGCACTATTCTCCTTGAAGTCAAAAGTCAGATTGGCGCCCAAACATCTTGCCAATGACTGTGAAAAAGACAAAACTACCCTTACATTGCTAGAGAAATGGGTTCTATACCATGGATAAAGTGGGAAAACACTGTTCATTGCTGCCGAATTTTCCTACATGTCGTCGTTTCTTTTAATAATAATTAATGCCGTTGAGGATCTCAACTGATTGTTCTTGGGATAAGATCGGTTTAAAACGGAGTTAGAGAAAACAGATTAAAAAATATTACAACTCTTAAAATAAAAATAAAATGAAACAAAAAATAAAGCCATAAAGGGGCCCTAATATTTTTCAATTATAGCAGCCCTTTACACGCTTCCAAATCACGGTCAATCACTACCTAAACCTTTATATTAATTTATATTTCAAAAGTGAACTCCCCCTATTGATTGAACAAACCTTCACCGAGGTTTCTCAGTTATGGTGTCATAAAAGAAATATTAAAAAAAAAAGTTTGTGGTCGTGTTTTGTTTCTACGATAGCATCATATTGTTTTAGAAAAAATGATTTGCTTTTTTTTTTAATTATATTTTTATATTCCTTAATCATTTTTATGAGTGAATATCATAAATAAATTTTAAAAAATAAAAAAATATTATTTTAATATATTTCTAAATAAAAAACACTTTAAAAAATAATTATTACTATAATATAAAACATTAACTTTATATATATTTTAGATGACGTTTTATTACTTTCACAAAAAAGAGATAATGAGAATAAAAATATATTTAATTAAAAAGATAAAAGGTATAAAAATAAATGTATTTTAAAATAATTTTGGAGTGAATTTTTATATTTTTAAAATAAAATGTAGAAATAATATATGTCACTTGAGATAATATTTATTATATTTTATTTTTAAAATATTCTTATAGAAAGCTTTTAATTCTAAACTTGGCCATCTAAGATATATTATGATAAAAAATAATTATTATAATAGTTTTAAAACTTAATCTAAAAATTAGCTAAGGCCAATGCTTATGTTACAAGTCGAGAGAGTTAACGATATTTTTTTTTTTTGTTTTTAAATGATCAAAATGACCTTGTTTTGACCAATCTTTTTTTTCAAGAAAAAAGTCAAAGAGTTTTTTACTCGGGTTTTAGTTTGACTTGATCAGGTTGTAGGTAAATTTAAGTTTTTGATCAAATTAGGTCATGTTAATCCTTCCTATATTTTTTCTTAAATCCAGACCAATCTATGCCTCAAGTTGCCCGGGACCTTGGACAACCTTCCAAGCCAATTCCGATTTTATAAATAGAGCTATTATGCTATTATCAACTTCAACACTCAATCTAAACTATAGTAGAAAAATAATATCTAATTTTTTTTAAAACATGTAAGCTTGATATCAATACACTAAATTATTAGCCTAGACTCCATTGTGAGTTAGGTCAAGTTTTTCTTGAATGTAAAAATAATATGTTCAGATGTTTCTAATGTTTTTTTTTTCTTGTGTGTAATTATTAATCTGATGTGATTCAATTGACTTTATTGGTAAAAATAATAATTCAGACAACCTTAAAAAAGTAGTTTGACTTAATTTTTTTTCAAGATGATTTTTTTTTAATATTAAGATAGCAACATGATAAATTGACCTGGGTTAACCTGAGTTGATATGTGATATTTGTGACTTGAGTCATGTGCTTATAATAACTCCATATAAAATAAATCAAAATAAATTATGAAACTTGATTTATAATCAATCTAATATTGAAGGATAAAATTAAAAAAAATTAATTAAAAAAAGGACCTAAAAAGACCTAAGTTAACTTGCCAAATCTGTGAATTAGACTATAACACCAAGATAATTCATTGTGAATTAGACTATAACACCAAGATAATTTCATATAAAATAAATCAAAATAAATTATGAAATCTAATTTTCAATTAGTTTAATGCTGAAGGATGCAACTAATAAAAGCATTATTTAAAAAAATATGAAAAACAACCCGAGTTAATTCATCAAACTTATGAATCGAGTCATGGACTAAGATAGTCTTATAGAAAAAAATAAAAAATAATATGATTTAACATAGATTAACTTGTCAAACTCAAGATTCAAGTCATACAAGGACAACTCAATAAAAATAAAATCCCATGTTGAATGACCCGTAACTCGAGTCAAGAGACTAAGATAATCTCTTAAAAAATAGAAAAAACAACCCAATTTAACCAAGATTAAAATATCAAAACCCATAAACTTGATAATAATATCAAGATATCCCTATATAAAGTAAATAAAAACAGACTATGAAACTCGATTTCCAATCAATTTAATGTTAAATGATGAAATTAAAAAAAATCAATTATAAAAAAGAATACAAAAATCAACCCGAGATAACTCGGGTTAACCCATTAAATATTATTCCCATGCACTGAGGCTAAAATAATATAATAGAAAGGAAACAAAATAAATCATAAAATTTAATTTGTAATTAATTCAATATTAAAAAATAAAACCGAACATAAAAAACTAATTAAAAAAATTAATCTAATCGAGATAACTTGCAATAAAAAAAGATTAATAAAATATTATTATAATAAATAGTATTTTATAACAAGAATATAATAAAAACATTTATTGCTTGGGGGTTTTTCTTGTTAATATTAAAGGTAAAATATATTTTTATATATTTTATTTTATTTTATCCACTCTCAACTAAAAAAAAGATAAAGAAACAGTTACCCTATCTTATAAATTATTACCAAAACAATTCTATCTCCACTTCCTCTACCTTATTTTTCTTCTGTTTTTTTAATTCTTTTATACAGAATGTAACCTTTCATCCCAATGCCACCGGAGCTTTACGTTTTTGTATTTCATTGAAAGTAACGTAATTTTTTTTCATCTTATTTTAAGAACATAAACTTATCTTTCCAAGTGGCGTTCATGAAAAGACAAAGGAGTAGCCATCATTTTTCTTCTAAAAACACCGGGGAGGAAGTCGTGCCCAATACACCAATTTTCCCTCTTGTCATTAAAAATATTAAATCTCCAATTAAGTGGGCTAAGCATTGCATTTATCAATATAATATTCCAATTTGTATGATGACATCCAATCTTGTTTGCTTCACTCTTCTTGCATCTTTTTCGAACAGCTTATAAGGGTTTTGTTGTGACATGGAATAATAATAGAATCAGTTTTTATTTATTTATTAATATGAGTATTTAGATGAGTTTATATGTATTTTAATTAATTTTATAAACTTTAAAGTTAATAATTATATAAATTTTTAATGATTTTAAAATTTATAAAATTGAAAACTAGAATTATTTCTTTGTTCATTATGATTATGGATTCAAATATTTTTATGGGACGGAAAAAACTCGGTTTTAGATGGCCCTTCTCTAATTTAAAATATAAAAAATCCTGAAAAAATGAAAAATTCTTAAGAAGAGGAGGAAAAATAAATGAATTGCAAGTTGGTGAGTGCTACAAAAAAATAAAAAGTATGGACCCATAGGATCTTACCATTCTTTGAACCTTCCTGAAATTTCTGAATGCAAGCACAGTAGTAGGATAGTAAACACTGAACACTCAGAGGCAGATAGGAGAAAGGTTTCTGAGATCTAGAGTCCTGGATTCTCGCCTTAATTTTAGGACAACACAGTGGGTTCTCTTGCTTCACGGGTGTTTTTATGTTGTTGCAGATAAGTAGTGGCTTTGCTTTCTTCTCTATTCGATCAAACTTAAGCACTGCTTTTCTGTTGTCTTGTTTTATTTTTCTTGAATGTTCGGGTGCCCTTTCTATTTCATTGCTTTAAATTTCGATGTGGGTGCCTTAATAATGAGTATTTCAGTTTTTGTCTAGAGTTTAAGTTTCGAAGATGGGTTTATGATTTTGTTTGGCTTTTGAGAATCCAAGATGCATGCTCGATGATGTAGGTAACTGAAGAGGAGGAAAAAAAAAAGGAAGAAAGAAATGGGTTTGCTTTATTTTAGTTTGCTCAAAGTGTAAAACATAGATTGCTATCGGTTTTATGTTTTTTGTTTTTTTGGTTTTTTGCATAGCCAAGAAGGTGATTTGAAAGGGAGAAATGGGTTTATCGGTGTGATCTAAATTGTTGTTTTAAATAATAAATGGAAGGGAATTTGTCTCAAGGAGGTATGATTCCTGGCGGGGCTTCTTTTGGAGGCCCTGACTTGCAAGGATCAATGAGAGTTCATCATCAAGGGCAACATCCACACATTGTGCACCACCACCAGCATCCTATCCATCGCCAAGGATCTTCAACGCATCCCTCAGTTCACGATGGTTTTCCACCCACAATGGGGGCCATGCACAACTCTGATCAAAACATGTCCATGACTTATTACAATAAAGGAGATGGGAGGAAAAATTTAGTCAGTGATGAGGATGAGCCAAGCTACACCGAAGAAGGTGCTGATGGTCACAATGATGTAAGAAGAGGGAAAAAAGGGTCTCCGTGGCACCGTGTTAAGTGGACTGATAAGATGGTGAGGCTCTTGATAACTGCTGTGTCTTATATTGGTGAGGATGCGACTTCAGATTGTGGTGATGGAATGCGTAGGAGATTCACAGTTTTGCAGAAAAAAGGCAAGTGGAAATCAGTTTCAAAAGTCATGGCTGAAAGAGGTTTTCATGTTTCTCCACAGCAGTGTGAGGATAAATTCAATGACCTTAATAAAAGGTATAAAAGGCTCAATGATATGCTTGGGAGGGGCACTTCTTGTCAGGTTGTGGAAAACCCTGCACTTTTAGATGTTATAGATTATTTAACAGAGAAGGATAAGGATGATGTTAGGAAGATATTAAGCTCAAAGCATCTCTTCTATGAAGAAATGTGTTCCTATCATAATGGAAATAGGTTGCACCTGCCTCATGATCCAGCTTTGCAGCGTTCCCTACAGTTGGCTCTAAGAAGTAGAGATGATCATGATAATGATGATGCAAGGAGGCACCAACATGATGATCTTGATGAAGATGATCAAGAGATTGAAACTGATGATCATGATGAATTTGGGGAGAATCATGTTTCCCATGGGGATAGTAGGGGCATACATGGGGTATTAGGGGGTTCTGCAAAGAGACTGAGACCAGGCCAGGGCCATGAAAATGTTTATTTTGGGAATTCATCTCAGGACCCTAATAAAGTGTCTTCTTATTCTCATCCACAGATTGCCCAAGTTGATATGAATCAAGTCTCTCCTGAAAGTTCAAGAGCTTCTTGGTTGCAGAAGCAGTGGATGGAATCTCGCACACTTCAGTTGGAAGAACAGAATCTAAAAATTCAACAAGAGATGCTGGAATTGGAAAAACAGCGATTCAAATGGCAAAGATTTAGTAAGAAAAGAGACCATGAACTAGAAAAACTGAGGATGGAAAATGAGAGGATGAAGCTTGAGAATGAGCGGATGGCATTAGAGTTGAAACACAAGGAAATGGGTGCTGATTTTAATTGATTTTCCGGTCATGTCAATTTTGTTCATCTCAACAGCTGGACTTGCATGCAAATCAATTTTCTGTTTTTGGTAAGCTGCTTCTGGAACTGGGGTGTCATTTAGGAGGGGTATCTAGTGGGATATTGTTACTCTGCCTGCATATATTGTGTATACTTAGGATAGTCACAATAATGTCTCATACTGCTTTGTTTTGACTCTGGTGAAATATCATTGCCTATGGTTAAAGATATTGTGGCTATATATTTTTTTCCCTGTCATGTATTTGCTTTCATAGTTGAAGTTTGAATATCTAGATCAGCTTGATGATCCAGCTACATATTTTTGCTTCAAGTGTTTACTTTTAAGTAGTGTCTAATGATTGTTTTCAGAATGTATTCAATGAAGTGTAAATTTTCAGAGTTTGTTCACAATCCCAAGGTCGTAGGCTATGCAGAAGTGAGGTCTAACTTCAATAACTAGCGATTCCTTTTTTGCTGTTTAACTATACTTCACTTCTCTTCTCTGGGTGACATGATGAACAAGTGCCTGAAGGTCGTTCCATCTGGGAGATAGTCAAGTAATTGTCATTCTCTAGATGGGACATGTGCTTTTGTGCAAGAGTCAATCCCTGTCTCCCCTCTGGAAAGTATTTCTCAGCTTGCTGGGGCGGATCTTGACAATTTGAGTTTTTCCAGTAATTTGTGTAATGACTCAATTTAACCTTAGTGTCTAAATTTCCATAAGTCAACAACACCGTGCCTGTTTAGCAGGTTTATTTTACTCTAGCAACTTATCCTTCCATATGTTATCTTAAATTTTCAGACAGATAACATCAGAGTTTTCAACTGATAGCTGCAAATAAAAAGCACTTGTACTGTAGCATGGATTTTTTGGTGTAATACAACTGGAAGCTGAATGGTGTAAGCTTTGGCTGTCATTGGAATTTCTTACTTTTTGAAACTGCCCACTAAATAGTCAATTTTGGTGACAGTGGAATATAATGTTTGAACATCATCATTAACATCACTTCTTCTGCTGCTATTACTCTTTGTGGCTCAGGTTCTTAGGCATTTAGGCCATTATAAATGTTGTCTATTAACACACTATTCAAGAATATTAGCTAGCAAATATCAGTTTAATATCATTGAGCTAAAGAACTTGCTATTGCATTAGAAACAGCATTTTTTCATGAACAGAAGAACCAGCAGGGTTTAACATGTGTGATATTAACACTCATTCCACAAATGATGCTCTTGGGTCTTAAAGAGCATTCCAAATGAACAGTATAAGAACAATATAAACAAGGGACCGTTGTGTGGAAGTGGTGAAAATCTTGAGCTTGCTACCACAAGACTGCAGGTTTGAGTCTCAAGGACAGCCACTGGATGCAAAAATCATTCAGGCAAGACAATCCAGATTTTTTCTTCTAGAACCCTACTTTGATAGTTCCATAGCTGAAATGCTACCACCTTTTTTACATGATGTCCTTCCTAGTAATAACAGTGCTTGGCGAGAAGAAATTTTTTTGGACTAAATTTTAGTAAAATTCTTGTGTTTTGATGAAAACTGTTTCCTAAACTTCTTAGTGGAGAACCGAGGATTAAATGCCCATCGTTGGATGAGGAATATGTGTGTATGATAAACTGACTGGATATAACCAATATTCCTTAAAAAGGTGTTTTAATATATCTCAATGTGGTCGAATGTTTATTCATATTGATTTTGAGGCTGCCTTGTGTTTCTTTCTGTTACTTGATAAAATTTGTTCTCTTATCTATGGGTGTCTTTGTGTCTTCAAGCATGCAAATGCTCGCAGCCACTAAGATAAGCAACTTGGATTCTACAAATCACAATATAAGTTGTAATCTTCTTAATTGATGTTGCCTTAGTCACTTTATACAAGTGGAACTGTCAAAATAAAAGTTCAATACTAGATTGTATTTTGCTTATGTAAATTTTTGTTTGACCTTTATAGAACTGAAATTTGCTGACTTGACTAAAGACCTTTCATAACTGAAAGCTTCCACAAACAAGGTTTTGTAGATCGTTCTATTTGGAGTGAAATGATTAGTACTGGATGGTTTATTTGTTTAAAAATGCAGTTGAAAAGGCTACCCAAGCATGTGCACAATTTAGTTGAGATGCTGCATGAAATTATGATTTCTCTATTCATTTCTGATTTGAAAATTTGAATGATTTTAACATAGTATGTTTAAATTAGTAAGCTGCAATCAGGGAAGATTTTCCGGTGGTGCCCTTTGGGCTGCTTTTTGGGTATTAGTGGGTGTTGAAGGCTTAATGTTCCACATGGGGCATAAATCTTAAAATGGGCTTCAATATTTAGATGATACATTTTCTTTTTCAGCGAATGCTGGAGACTTCAATATTTGAATTCTTACCTAGAAATTTAGTTTAGAATTCAGAAAATGAATTAAATAATTGGCATCTGGCTGGATTTATCCTCCTCCTGTTATGTCAAATGAAGTTTCATCCATCATGTAGTGCATGTGCTTCATCTTCTTCAGGTTTAGAGAGGAAAAGGATGTTTCACTTTTGGGAGAAGCCAAGAGTGTGCAGGACTTGACCTTGATTGGTGATTAGATGGCGATGAGCTGCAGCTGAACTGGACTGATTGTTAGTACTAGATGAATTGTTCATTCATGGTGCTAATTTTGCTTGGTTTATTTATTTATTTCTATAGTAGATGATCATCCAGTTTTGCTTAATACCTGCAGATTATGTTTTTATGGTTCACCATATGCTTTCTAGGAAGATAGATCAAATGATTCTGGAGGATTATCAAGTAAAATCTTCTTCTTTCCACATTTTTAATTCTTATGATTAACATCTGCTTATCCACATAAGCTGGTGCATGGCTTCGTTCAAAGTAAGTGCCGTCAATCTAGAGGAAATAATATTTAGGAATGGTTAGAGGCTTTTCAAATGTTGCAACACTAGAGTTCCTCCAGACCTTGAATCTGAATTTTTATTACTTTATTTACCGGAGCTTCCAAATTTAAGACCTCCTTGAGGTTTGACTATAACTGAGTATTGGATGCTTTGTAAATAGTACCAATTTCAGGATCCTTTCTTCATGGAAGTTCAATGGTAGGATTCAATTATGCCAACAACTGCAGCTTTCATCTAACTGAATCAAATGGTCACCCAAGAAACATTACTACTCTGACCCAATTTTTTTTTTTTTTTTTTTTTTTTTTTTTTGCTATGACCTGCAACTAGTAACCTTGTGTTCTTTTCATGGCTTAAAGACTGACAGTAGCTGTGGTTTATCTTGTGCATTCCGATGTATGGTGATGCATATGCCTGAATGTGTGGTAAACAAATGAAAATGAATAGTGTTACTCCAATCATGACTACAAAGCTCTGCCTTCAGTATTCTCATGTAGAGCTTCTAATGATTACAATACATTTCATCATCGTGTGCGTCTTGTGTTCTTATATTGACATCCATTGCAACATTTCTCCTCTCATAAATTTATGGAAATTTTACAGGCGACAAGGTGTTATTAAACACTTTTTGTGTGGAAGAGTATTGGTCTGGTTCTGAACTGTGGCACGCTGCCATCATTGAGGAGCTTGGTTGATGGCTGCCCTAAAAAAGCGCCAAGCTTTTGGGCATAGTGGTCATTCATTTCTCATTGCGTGCAGAGTTGCATACAAATGTGAATCAATGGGTGCTTGGTGTGTACAATTTCTGCCGTTAAAAGTACTGTCGGGGCAACAATACTTGTTCCTCTGTTTGTTGACAGTTACTGGCAGTAGAAAATTTAGTTGCCGAGGATCAGAGACCAATTGCCAGTTGGTCTGATGACACTGCCCCCCCTTGAAATCAAGATGGAGTTTATGATCCTGGATAGTTTGATTGGCAATTTGGGTGGTCAAAGAAAAGCACAAGGGAGTAGTTTTTTGCAGCTATAAATCACTCGCTTGAACCAAATCTATCAAATGGAGTAGAGTTCACTTCATATAGATCGTATTATTGAATGATGAAGGCCTAAACTGTAACCAGTTTGTCCTCACCTGCTGAACTGACTATCATCCATAATTAAAATTAAAATTAAAATTCTTGATATTTCTTGCAGAATCTTACATCATAACTCCATGTCGAGGGACAATAAACTAAAGAAAGATAAAAGTAGAGAAAGAAAAAAAGAAGCCAAGATTAGAAGCAAGAAAAGCTTGGAAAAAGAGAGAATTCAGATAAAAACATAAAATATTATTTTAATTAAATCATAAAAAAAATCTTATATTTTAAAAAATAACTTATAAATGCTAGTACTCTAATTAGAATAAACAATTAGGTTTATAGCTTATTATATAAAATATTCAATAACAACTAAATTAAACTTAAGAAATAAATCTGAATGCAATCTAATTGCACAAGAGCTGATCGATGTATTGAGTTTGATGTCTTCATTGACTCTTTTAAGATTAGAAGAACTCAACTCCGTCAAGTATATGTTAAGATAGCTTCGAAAATGTTCAAAAAAATAAGGATCAAGTTACTATGATATCTTTCTAATAATCAAAGTACAATTTAAATCTAGTTGGTAAACTCATATATCAGGATTAACTGAACTTCATCATTTTTGGTAAAAACAATTTTGTGCATCCAAAATAGCATTAATATGTTCCTTTTGTTTCAATGATGAGGATAATATGATAGGGATATCAAAAGAAGTATCATAGATAAGTTGTTGTGTTTTATATATAACGAGCTTTTTCATATTAAAAATAGAACTAATATCAAAGTTTAGTGATAATTTAATAATATAAGTATTTGATTCAATTATTTGCAACATTTTGAATGGTCTAACACTACTCATTTACAATTTATAAATGATTTCAAGTTTAATCTATACAATGAAATAATCTAAAGCATTAAGTATATTATAATACTTATGCAAATCAACTTGAAATGTGTATTATTCATTACTTACTTAAATTTTCTCAATGATCTCAGTATACAAATTATAAATTTTATAGGTAAAAAACTTAGTTGAATAAGAAATTTTAACTTGAGGAGACATATAAAGAAGATCAACAAGCTTTCTAAATTCGCAATTATGAACACTATATGACTAAAGGTGTGAAATGGAACAAACACTATTCAAAGCCTAAATAGATATTGTTTAGACATAACCTAGTAAATTATGATTATTTTCATATTTCTTATCATGTCAGGGGTTAGAGATAAAAAATAAAACTTAACATTTTGATCTAAATTGATGATATGCTGGACATCAAATATAGTTGATGGGAAATCAGGTAGTTTAAAAGGATTAATATCATGAGAATCTTTTAAGACTATATTTGCCTCTTCAGGTGATTTCATTAAAGAATTTTCTAAAATTTATTTCTTTACCATTAAAGCATAATTATTATATTCTTTATTAACCTTCCTTTCATACGTGTATAATACTCTTAAAGACTATATTCATCTTTTTAGTACTAACTACTAAGTCTTTAAAATTATTTGAACTTATAGTGGTAAATTTATCTTATTGTACATCCTCTTCATCTAGATCGCTAAAGTCTTTAGGATTGAGTTCATATACTTACGTATAATAAAAAGTCTTACTTTTCACCTATATTCTTATATTTTTGGATGATTAAGGGTTTAAAGATACAATTAACAAAAATATGATCGAAACCTTTAATATTTAGCAAACTAAAACTTTGAACTTAACTTGTAAATTTCATTAACTATTCATTTTTCTTTATCTTATTTATAAACTTGGGCATTACTGGGATTGGGTCTATAAGATAGAGTACCTAATAAATAACTATTATTTATAAACCGAGACCTAAAAAGGGTTTTAATGTTTTGTCTATTAATTATTTATAAACAACTCATAATTTTATGCTACAATATAGGCTTGGTTAAGAGTAAAAACACATATAAGCATGAGTTCTTTTCTAAAATCATCATTCATACATTTACAAAACCTATGCAAAGTCATGATTTTATTCTATTTTATGGCACTTCTCATCATGTAATCATTAAATTATGTTATATACTCATTAACATACCTTTTTCATTGCCTTAGATTGTTCCATTGGTACAAGAGTTTATTTATATAAGATTGAGGCTAATACTTTTCTTGTAGTTTTTGTTTCATTTTAGTCTAATTAGTTATGAAAGGTTTACCTCTCATCTGTAAACAATCCTTGACATGTCTCTAATTAAGTTAGGCTTCACCAACAAGTATCATCTTAGTAAATTTAACTCTCCTATTATTAGACAAGTTGTGTCACTCAAAGAATTAATCATTATCATAAATTCACATATCAATAACCTAAGGGTCATAATGACTGTTAAAAGTGGAAGTTTCACTTTTGTTAAAGCTCATGACATGCTCATCAAGATCATCACATGTAAAGTAAACTAAATGATAGTTATATTGGTGACACTCAAGGTGAACTGACCCATAATAACTGTAGCTATGATTTTTACTAATCTTTAGATGCCTTATTCGAGAACTTTCTAAGGTTTCAACTCTTTTAGACATGTTGGTCATTTGAGTTTGCAGTTTTTCTCAAATAGCTCTAAGAGCATTACTAATAGTGGGTCCATGGTAAGTGTAGATTTAAGGTTTAACACTAGATGATCATGGCATAAATCCATGCAACACTAAATTATAAATGGAATCAAGATTACATATGATTTTTGCAAGTACAATCACAATTAAAAAATAAAACTAATTCTATTTTTTCAATGTGAAAATTAATCAAGAATAAAAAATACTTGAAAAATTTTAAGCATGCAATGCTAGACCTCGAAGTACAAATAAATAATTAAATAAAGTAATAATGTTCTATTATTTTCCCCTCACTTTTCTTTTTATTTTTCCACCATCATTTTTCAATCCTTACACACACACACACACACACCTTTTATGTCATTTTTTTAACAAATTAATTTAAAATAAAATTACACCTAAACAAAGAAAAATACCAATAAAATATTAAAATAAAATAAAAACTAAAAAGGTACTAGACTCTCCCAGTCATTTTCATTCTTCTTGGCGTCTGTCTCTTAATCAAATTTTGATGGGTGGAGTGCTAGAGAGACACGAGTTATTACGGCCATTGCATTTAGTCCCAGGCTTGAATATATGCATCACCTTCTATCGTCATCAAATAATGGAGAACTTGTTAACTCTGGGATGGCAGATATTCCCATTGTAGTCTGCAAATTTATATGCCAAAGCCTTCTGTTGTGCCTTTTTTCTTTTTGTTTCGAAAAGAATGAGAAAAAGTATATAGGTTTATGGTGTTGTTTGTCAAAGGAAATAAATGAACATTTGGTTTTGGTTCTGGGCAGTGGGGCGGTGAATTTATTTATTTTTAATTATTATTGATGATCATCCTCAAAATTGTCAAGGATTGAAAACTGTGTTGAATTTTAAAGATTTGCAAGTCAGATCAATTAACTATAAAAACAATTAAAAGTTTATATTCATACTTGACACGGGACAATAAACTAAATAAAATAAAAATATAGAAATAAAAGAAAAGACTAAGAATTAAAAGTAGGAAAAAAGAAGCTAGAAAGAAAAGAAAATTCAAAGGAAAAATAATATGTTATTTTAATTAAATAATAAAAAATTATCTAACATTTAAAAAAAAATTAACATGTAAACACTAAAACTTTAATAAGAACAAACAATTTGGTTTATTGCCTACAAAATAAAATATCCAATAATATTTATATAAAACCTAACAAATAAATCTAAATAAAATCAAATTGTATAAGGGTTAAGCCATTTTCATCATTATAAATTATACGATATTCTATAACAATTGAGTGATAGAATTCGAACTAATAAAAGTGTCAATTTGAATGAAAATAACACAATTCTTTGACTTAATGTATAAAAATACATGGTGGTGCTTTTGGAACATCATGCATGCTAATGGGTGTCTCTGGGAATGATCTTTTGAAGTTACAGGCTCTAGTAATTATAGTAGGAACTTTTACAATCTTGTCTGGCATTATGAGTTTTCATAGGCTAGTCTAGTGGTATAGGATTCACGTTGCTGAGCCCATATTCAAAATATTGAAAGCAAAATGAAAGAGATACAACAAATGATAATCATATTGTCATGATTGTGCAATGGGACGACAAATTAGCTCTATAAGACCTTTTGCTCAAAAGGTA